CCTTCCCGGGCTCCGGCGAGCGCTCTTTATGCACGGAATCGTTACCGAGCGTCCTGCCCGCGCACCCGGCCGTTATTTCTTCGGGAAAGGTCGATTATAGGGAAGGGACATCGGTAAACTGCGACTGGAATCCTGAAAATCTTCCGAGCGGAACGGAACAGGCTTGAAAATCATTTTCCCCGCGCGGTAGTCTTGTTTCTTTGGCACTGGAGCTACTCAGTAATTACCGTAGCATCGTAGTTTTAACACTAACACTACCCAGCACTTCGATTGACTTTTGAAAATTTCGATATAGAGACTCCGAGCGTGCATCTGTTGAGACTTTAACCCTTCGCGGACGAAGATTGTTGAAAGTGTACAAAACCTTTTGCAAATTCTGCTAAATTGAACACCGAATGATTAAATCATAGAGAATAAGGAAACTGTGTACTGATGATTCTTGCTGTTCGAACAGTTCGCCGACAGAAATGCCGACATTCGTCCGCAAAGGGTTAATTGATTCACAATTCAATTTGCGCATTGCTGGATGAATTTCTTTAATAATTTCTCAGAGAAACATTTGTTAGGCATGGGTCATTTGACAGAAAATCCACAAATCTAGAAATATACCTCACGATAGAGATAGAATAGTAAGGACTCTTTTAATTGACTTAGTTTTCAATGAATCATATCAATACACCTCGTTATCATCGACGAAAGGATCCAGTAAGCAGGAAAACTGCCTGATCACACTGCGAGCTATAGCTGTGTCTTTTTCAAACAAAACATATTCAAATACCATTAATATATTACACTGGTTCGCAATTTCATAGAAAATTGTATCGTACTACAGTTCTTGTGACGAAGAAGCTTCATAATTAGAGTAATTGCGAAACAGAAATTGTCGAATGGCTAATTCAGACGCGACGGTTGTAGAGTTAAACAGTGAAATTGTATTGTTCCGTGTAAGCACTCGTTTGCTCCAGTTTTTCGCCGGGAAGAGGAGTATCTGTTTCATGCGAAGGGAGCAAAGGGGCCATAATAAAGCCTGCAGGATTGGACTGTCCAGCGCGGGAATTCCACCGGCGCATTCCCCGGGAGCCCTGGCTCGCAAACAGTAAATTCGGTAATGACGAGAACCGATGCCCTCCCGATGTTCTGACAATTGTGAAAGGAATGGGGAAACAAATGGCACCGGGGGAATCCTGGACCTGTTGTCCGCGCGAATCATCCGAATTTCGGTACTGTAAATTAACCTAATTTCCGGTTTAATCGAGTTTGAGCGATAGCCTCAATCACGCCGGGGACAATCTATCGACATTCATCCTCTCCTCTTGCCAAAACCATTAACCCCTTGCCCTATGATCTATTTCTCGACTGTGATCATCACAAGTTTGTCGTTAATAATTTATTCGAAACAGAAAAAAATTCTATGTGTATTCTATGTCGAAGTTTGCTCTACAATATAATTTATAACAGAAAAATAGTGTTTGGAATTCTATATTTATATATTTTTTATATTTATATTTGCTAACACGTTGAATGCTATGGGGGTCACCGGTGACCCCCAAGCAAATCGAAGTACTATAATTCACACAGTGAAACGATGATTATTCGCACACATTTCTATATTATAAATAATGCTATCCATTGCGGTGGCATTCAGTTTGATGAACGTGCAATGATAATAATCCAATTCAGTCAAACGATTTAATATTGTACTTTTACCATTTTCTGTATTTTGCTCTATGAAATCGTGCGGAGTTCAACGTGTTAGTCTGTTTAAAATCTATACTAGAATTTCATCGAGGACCGGTTACGAACAAGAATATGCTTAGAATTTTTCCCTTTTCCCAATAAATTATTAATGACAAAGTAGCCGTATCGTTCAGAGTTCAGAAAGAAATCATAGGCCAAGTTCCCCGGATCAACAAGATTCCGGCAAAACGGTCGCTATCGGAAGCTACCCGTGATATCGCAGCCAAGTAGCCCGGAATTCCGTGGGTCACCGAATTAATTCGGGGTCCGCGTTCCCGAAGAAGCCGGGACGCCTCTCGTCCAGGTTTAGATACCGCGGCGCGATACCGGCGACCCCGAAGTCCCGGGCCGAGTCTCCCGCAAACATCGGACCACCCTCTAGCTTCCGTTTCAGAGTGGCTCCCAGAGGCTTGCGCAGCGGTCTGCGCTCGTAATCATCGGTTTAGATCTGACGCAGCCCGCGCATCCCCCTAGCCGGACGCCAAGATCTCTCGCGGAGGGTCGGGATCGTCCCGGCGCGGCCGTGTAGGGGCTGTTTAAGTGGCCGGCGATAAGATAACGTCCGGAAGCCGGGTAACGGGCAATTAATTCGGGAGTAGCTTGGGTAAACAGTGGCGAGAAATTAAAAGCTATTTGTCACGGCCCCGTAAGAGCAAGGGAACGAGGCTCCGCCATGGCAGGGGGAGGGTCCGCGAGGGTGGTCGGGCTCGCGGTCATGCTTTGAATTAAGATCGAGCTGATACGAGGCCGTGTGTGCGCGCGCCCGCGCGCGTGGAGCCTGGCGTGCAGGTTTCCCCCGGCGGAAAAAGAAAGGACAGTAACGTCGTCACGAGACTTATCTCGGTTATTAATCCGAAGAGGGTGCCAGGGGAGGACGGGCGCGGGCGGACCAATCAACGGGCGGCGCCCGCTCGTCGCCGCTCGGATTAAGAACTTCCTGCCGCGCGCGGCGCTTTTATTCCGGGACCGGCGAGATCCATCGCGGACTCTAATTATTCCGCGGCAGATTGCGCGCCCGCGGCTGCCGGCCGCGTTCTTTGAATCCCCGCGACGCGGAAGACATTGTTACCGTGAAAGGAATTTTTTATCTGTTTCGCGTCGCGCGCCCGGACGGAACGCCCCTTTCTTCCGCGGGTATTTAAGCGGTTTGTTGCGGTCGCCCGCGGGAGATCCGCCGGACGGCCGGGACACGTCCGCGGACAGCTTTTTCGGCGCGCGTACGGGTCGCGATGATTGCGCGGGACTTCCGGGGATTAGCTTTGACGCGTCGGCCGAACTTCGGGGGATATTGTTCTTCGCTGATAGCGTAACTTTTCGTGGCTCCCGCTGATAATACGTAATCCCACGGTGTACGCTGATATCCCGGAACTTCGGGAGTCAATGACACGGAAGCTTCCGCTGCAGAATGCCGAGAGCTACGTGGATTGTCTATAAAATTGATTCTCCCGCGTCATGCGATGCTCGGGCTTCGTCGGGAAGCGACTCGTAGGAAACGGACCGACTGGTTAACCCTTTGCGGCCGGATGTCGGCGTTTCGGTGAGATGAAAAGATTTCAAAGACTGGACGAATGATCTGATTAGTCTTTTTGATAGGTTTTCTCTTTTTCTATTGATTAAGCGATTGATGCATAATTTAGATTCATACGTTGAAGGTTTTGCATATTTCGAAGAATTCTCGTCAAAGGGTTAAACCTCGTGTTAAGGTCACTTATAGCGTTCGCGTTGCGTCCGGGTCCTAGAAGTAGGCTATAAACATGGACGCCATAATGGCGTCCCCAAGGCAAAAAAGGCGCGGCAATGAGTACCCTACTGAAGTTTAGAAATTTATGAATATTCAGGCTGAAATTAAGGATAATACTGTCCCTTATATACTATTTTGTAAATAAACATCTAGAGTTCTGAATTTTCATAACAATTCGTAGTATAGTGAACGATATTTACAAGAAAATAGCGATAGAAGATGAAGGGCATACCGATAGCCGGTTGACAGGGTTATGTTCATTAGCAGCAACATAATTCTTTCTCTTTTAACGTGGCCGTGAATGTTCTGCTTGTTCTTTATACGCCCACAGCTTCAGAAGACTCTTAATTTCAGATGAACACTAAACTTTCACAAAATTTCGAGCTAATTACACGAGAAAAGTTAAAAATTCCGTACACTAACAGCACCACGTCCTTCCACTAAAGAGCAACTTCAATCCTGCGTGCGCATCCAAGATGGCGCGCGCGTCACGTGACACGCAGGCGCAAAGAGTACTTCGAAATCGCCGATTCGAATCGGTTCAAAGCGCGTCTCGATACGTTCCATGGTTTATTCTTGAATTCTTCACTTCTATTACCACCTTAATTGCTTAACACTTTAATTAACACATATGCAATACGCTTTATATTATTTTCTATAAATATATTAGTAAATAATATAAAAATAATACATTCATACTGTAGACGGTTCGCCCTTTGCGTGTCAATACTTGGGGGCCTGAGAGATAGTCCAGGCCCATTGACTAATTTACCACCAAGAGGACCACCATGGCCTGGGTCACGTACGCCCTCGTCTGAAGAGTTTTCCTTTTCAGAAAAGCAACTGAGGAAAAGCAGTTAGTTGCCGTTCCTCATTAGAGCCACATCGCGTAATAAATATATTCAACCTGACTACGGACTTGGTTTTTATTTTAGTAGCCCTACAGTAGAATTACTGAAATTTTGATTCCTTTCAAAGTCTCTGGCCTCTATCTGCTCGGTTATTTGTAATGCCGCGGATAAATCCGACCAGTGCGGCCGAGAGTATAACCGCGTGGAAATCAAGGTTCGAAGGATGATAACTCGCCGCTGCCAGGAGCAGCGCGGTCAGCCCTGTATCTCTGTTTCCTCTTTAAACTGCGAGCTTAACGATAAACAAACAATCGAGGAGGATGGCGGCTGATATCGACCGCGAGAAACACGAGCTCTGCCTCCTTGGACCGCCTCGCCTCGCCTCGCCTCGCCTCGCCTCGCCGCTTAACGATCCCTGAAATTTTCCCGACACGTTTTCCCGCCGGTTTTCTCGCCGGCCGCGGCGTTTTTTCTTTTTCGTTTTTTTGTTACTAGCCAGGCGGACGGCTCGTAGCCTGGCGAATTTATAGGGACGTTTACCTACTAATTACGGTGCAGATGGCGACCAGCTGCAGCGCGGCATTCCTACCGAACGTTCCGCGCGACAGCCGCCACTTTAACGATCATTAAGCTCGGGGCCCCCGGTCGAAGGCAGACGGACCGGTTCTTACCTAATCGCAGCCCACGTTCGCGGAATCTCGATTCGATGGTGTCGTTTGCGTGCCTCTCTTACCTGCAAGCAGAAAGAAACGGGAGTTAGACGTTTATGGGATCGGGCACGTTCGCTTCGTTTAATATTCATCCGGGATTGATCTTCCGTCTGATAACAGCGTAACTGAAGGGAGAGTCAGTAATAGATTGTGAGTGCAATAATCGACCTAAGGTACGTCATCATTCGAACGTACATTGCGAACGGTATTCCTGAGCGGTATACATTCTAGAAATTAGTAAAGGTACTTTGTCGCGTCGCTAAATTGCTTTAGGAGGGCTATTGACGAAACCTTCTGCGAGGCACATTAGAGCCCTGGGTATTTTTACCATAGCGGAAATAAAAGCCCAAGGAACCGTTACTTCAATAATTTAGTCGTAGTTGCTTCGGCACGTTTTGCCAGATTTGTAGATTTACCGTAACTTTTACCTTACATCTGTTCGCCGGAAGTCGAGGCGATCCTTGGTTTTATCACTCGCTACGGTCAGTGCCAAGGATCACCGGTTGAGTCCCACTCGAACGAATTTTTGTTTGTACGCGCCCACTATCTGGAAGGCTACAAATCAGGAAGCTTCCAATTTTGCACACGCCTGCCCAAAGGTTTATAAAAACCCACGCAAGGTACGGAGACGGGGGATATAAGAAAAAATTGAACTAGACACACGAGACGGAGTATATAGATATGGTTGTAGACTCTCGCCGCTGACGAGTATTACTGAACTCTCAAAAATAAACAGCAAATTATTACAACGGTTCTATAGCCTGAACAATCACCGGCTTTCCAACACCGTTGACCTATAGTCTCTCTATAGACACCGAATGCAATCGCGAAAGCACGGAGGTAAAAAGCGAAGACGCATCAATGGGTCAACCGGCGCGAAAAATATGAAAACGGAACGCGTCGCGAATGGAAGACAGCCGGGCATCCGCGGAGCGTTTGTACCGTTCCCCGTTTGATCGCGTCGCCATGGAAGGTGGTGGAAAATCACGCGATCCGTCTTTGAAGCGCAGCCATTCGGATCGGCGAGCGCGGAGCCGCTGCGGCGGTTCGCTTTAATTACAGAACTGCGTGTGTGCGCGCGCGAAAAGGCGGGAAACAAACCGGATTGCCCCGGGAACCGGCAATTCCGAAACTGGAGCCGCGCACAGAGCGAGCGTCCCTTTGCCGGCGAGTGCCCTCTGTGTCCCGAAGAAAAATTGATGGCCTTGCGATTGCCGGGTTCGTTGGGCGAGCCGCGATAACAGCTCTCCGTCTCGTTCCGGCTTGTGATTACCGCTCGTTAGTCGATCTACCGGCCGACCTACTCAGGCCTCGTGGCTTGTTTTCATCGAGGTGATTAGAGCGGCAGGAGAGGCGACCGGGCGAGCGGGCGAGCGAGTGAGCTTCGCGAAAGTTTTTGGCGCTGTTTGGTTTACCTTCGGCTACGATTATAAACGTCGGATCTATAGCTCCGTCCCCGGTGAACTTTTCGCTCCCGACGGGCTCGGATAATACGTTCGCGCGATCGCGTCGCCCCGATGGAAATCGAACGGAAAATACGCGGGAGAATTGAAATCTGCCGAGGGAAATAAAGCTGCGGGAATGCTATCTTTCGATATAATCCCCGGTAGCGTGATACTAAAGCAACTGTAATGTTGGCAGGTTATAGACACGCCTCGGGTTATAGGCTATAAACCCCAACAAGCTCTAGTGTGTTTACCTCGGCGCGGAATCCGGTTTTGCTTTGAGACTGATAACGGTGTAAGTACGTTGTTTAGCTGCAGTTTTTCGACGGGAGGTTTTGAGCCACTAACAGCACTCCTGACAATGAAGCGATCAGTTCTGTATAGTTGTATACATATTCGATCTTTCTTCGATTCGGATCTTTTAGTTCTTAAACAGTTAACTGTGGAGTTTAGTTGGAAAAACAAATTTATGGGAAAAAATAAAGAATTCATCGCTGAGAGAATTAGTATCGTGTCAAGCTTTACGATGACGTGTATACTGGTCAAACACAGTTAACTGGTTAACACTATTCTCACCGCGATCGGTCAAATGTTTTTAAAATTTCGGTTAGAATTTCCTATAGACAACGTATTTGACTGGCAGTATCGAGACTCGAGTCCGTGGAAATGAATTCTAGTTGTCCAGTTTATTTTATCGCGAATATAGTTATTTCCTCAGTTCTCTATAATACCGTACATTATTCCCGTCCACACATTTCCCATAACGATCGCATCAGTCTGGCCCGTGCCAATTAAGCATCAACGAACCCAATCAAAAAGTATCGGCAACCTCCGTTCCTCAAAACCGTCGACAGAGTAACGTCCGAAAGAAGGGAAGAGCGACGTATGCCATTAAAGCGTCAACGGTAACGGACAGCACCCCTCTCGCAAAGGGCAGGACGCGCGGAATTCCCAGGCTCGCCTCCCATCGGAGAAATTCGCTTGATGGCCGCGCAATAACTAAAACATTCCCCCGGCTCGACTCCGAATCGGGGGACGAGGCTGGGCCAATTGATTGGCCGATGCATGATTTAGCGGGACGTAAGTGCCGCCCAGGCACGGGCACTAAAAAAAAAGGCGATGCCGTCCATCGCGCGCGCGGGGAAAGAAAGATGACAGGCGGCGGGGGGTGGCCATGAAGAATTCAACTCGCTCCAGTTTCGCGGCCTGTTGCATAAGTAATGGGGCCGGCGCTTGCGGTTGCAGGCGGAAGCCTACTTTCTAATCGGCAACCCTTGCGCGAGCGATGCCACTTCCGTATCGCCGCACGCGATACGCGGATAGAAGCGCCGGCGTCCCCCTGGAACGCGACACTCGCCCCCTTTTCTGTCTGCTACTCGTTTATCGGACGAGAATTCGAAGGAAACGGAGGATCGGCAGGCTTCAGGATCTGTTTTCGTAGGCGTACTAGGCAAGCCATGTTGGAAAAGCAGAGAAACATTCATAAACGTAATTACAGATAGTTTGCTGTAATAATTGTACAATATTATATGATTGTTAAAATAAAGTGTGCTATTCGGAGATTAGATAATCTGTAATTATACACTTGGTGAAATTTATTTTTGTGGGAACTTAGTGTTTAGATTTATTTTTGCCGAGGAAGTAGAAAGATATAGCACTAGTCAGACAGCTTCAGATTGTAATTCGCGCAGAGTATATGAATGACGATCATTTGTCAATGAAATGATCCTATAGAATTTTAACGATCGGAGTGTAAACCGGAACGATGATTCTTGTTAATTATTTCTAATTAAACCGTCGAACTGGTGATCAGTGTCACTTCATACGTATAAATCCGTCGTTAAACTACGCTCGCGAGGAGTTTACGAAAAGTGTACGGATTACTTTCCTGTATTAATTACTCTCATACCCCGTCCCAATTAATTACATTCTCGGCCGGCGCGCGCTCGGGCGTTTTTTAATACGACGGCTCGTGAATTATGTAATATACCATGAATATTTCACAGAGATAACGATCGGGCAGGTAAGGCAGCCCGTAATGATCACGTGCACGCGCTCAAATAGATTCGTGTCGGGAAATTAGATGAACCGTTTGAGGGAATGGCGACAATGTTGCGGCTATCACGGCGAGTATAATGAACGCTTGCTAATAGCTGGTGTAGCGGCGAGGTGTATAATTAACGCGTCGTCCATCGCGGGAAGGGTTTTCGCGACGCGTCCGCCCGCGGGCGTCGCGCGGGGTGTACTCGTGCGCGAGCCGACCTCTTCACAAATCTTCCCCCGTCGCGTACCCCGTTGAATCTGAAACGCAATTTCCTCGTATCGCGGTGAAAATATCGGAGTCTCCTTATCGAAACCTCCATCCGGCCGACGCGGCCGTGAGTTAGACGGGAGATTGCTCGATTAATTATTATTACACCTTCTTCGGTACGAACATTCATTTAGCGAAGATACTAATCGAGTAAACAGGGGAAGCTTTTCGAATACCTAAACCAACTATCGATTACGATCAAATTCATCTCTCTGGCTCCTTTCTAACAGCCTCGAATTTGTAAAAGAGAATACATAAACAATATCTTTAACACGACTTGCAGTGAAACGATGCATCTAAAATCGTACATAGTATATACGCACGGTTTTTAGAACAACCTTTCGTCATCATGTGCTTTAACCCTTTGGTTTCTCAGTTTGAGGTTCACATCGACGTTAGTTCATTCAATTATAGCTTAATATGACGCTGTAGTTAATTATTCAAGAATATTTGAGGGTCACTGAAATGTTACCTATAAATGGTACAATTGTGATACGAATAAATATAGGAAAAATTAAAACAGGTAGAGGTTGCAATAAAATAGTATGTCGAGTCTGACTCGAGAAGATTCAGAGTTTTATATCTCCCTTATTTTTTTGTAGCAAAGATAGAGGAACAGTTACTTGTTATTTGGTATCGGAATGCTTACACACTATTATCTAGTAATTCACGCTATGAAATATTTCCATTCGACATTAGTTATCTTAAATTGTAATTACTGTCTAGTAATCTGGAAGCTCCGGTGACCGAGTCAACGTGTTAACGTAAATTTGGAATATTCTAGATTTAACACGATTAACATAGAAAAATCAACGTTACAATCAGTCTAGAATATTCTAATACAAACATCCATTCCAAACACGCAGTCTTCATACTACACACGTTCATTACAAATTCCTATTAATCAGATATCCACACGAAATGAAACACTAGACGTTTAGATCCACGTAATCCCGACGACGATGCATCATCGATACACAAGACTCCAACAGTACAAAGATCCCGAAGGGAAGCAGCGAGATAACACTTTTCAATCCTTTCGCCATCGAATATCGCGCAGAAGGGTGATCCGGCCGAAAAGCGTCGGGAAACCGGCTACAGTTTAATCATCGCCGATACGCGGCCGGGGGCGGGCTCCGTTTTGTCCGCGCATTTAAATGAAACGCTTTAAACGAATAGGCTTGTTGGCCGGAAACGAGCGCGACCCCCGCCGCCGCGCCGCGCCGCGCTGGGGAGCGCGGATTGTCGTCTCCATTGAAAACGATCGCGAATTCAGATCCGGGAAATCCAATAACAGGCGGAGCAACGGGTTCCCTCGGTCAGTTGTCGCCGGCTATTGATTAAAGATTAAGTATTAAAGCCGCGACGCGCAATATCAATCAGCCGGCATTGTCATCGGGCCGGCAATATATGTGTCACGGGCGTAACAGCGCCGGGCCCCGGTAAATAAATTCGAGGCAAGCCTCGCTCGCTCGCTCGCGCGCGCGCGCACTGCTGCCTCGTTATTAACATTAATCCGACACGTTCGATGTATCGCGTTAATCGATTCCGATGGTGGACCCGTCACCCCGGCGCACCCCCTGGTCCGCGGCGATCGCCGATTTAAATAAAACACCGCATTTTCACCGATACGACGGCGCGCACTTTAATCGACGCGGCGCGTCGCAAATTATTATGGTTTTTTCATGGCCGATCGATGCCTCGCCGTCATTGCCTCGACGGATTTAATGCTTTCAATTCGAGCATTAGAGCCTCGCGCGAAATAACGATTTTCTTCTGGAAACGAATGCTGTTTGTGTGTTTTTTTAGAACGTCGGTTGATCGATTTTGGAAGTGTGTTGTTTGTTGGGTTGCGAAGTGGGTTGGGTTATTGTTTAATAAATACGAAACTACCGTACGGATTCCTATGGAGACGAGGAGTCCTCGACGGTGTTTAATGAGAAGAGTTAGTTAGGAACTTATTCCGTCTATCAAGAGTTCGCAGAAGTTCGGGCCGACGTAAAAATCTTATCAAACTTCCATTAAACCGTGCCATTTGTTTCATTCAGCGTGCCGGAGCGGCGCCATGAATGCATAAAATCCGGTCTAAGCGTGACCTATATATGGTTTATGGGTCTGTGAATGAATTAATAGAATTCACGATTGCAGACAGCAGTTTATGACGGGCACCGTTAGTCGGAATATTATTTCCCCCGCCGAAGGTATTATTCCGCTAATGATCGGACATACAGGGTATACTGCTCGTAACGGAACGACCGGCTCGATCCTCGCAGCGCTAAAAACGGGGAAACACGGGAAAGAAGGCCGCGTACGCACATGTCGGCGTCGGTATCGGCCATAAATCAGCGATATCCAGCAGAACACTTCAATCACCATCAATTTACCCGCCCTTCTCATCGCGTGTATCCACCGCGCGCCAAATAAATACGACCGGTAAACAATGCTACCCCGAAACCGCTGCAGCGCGGCGATATAAAATCACCTACACCGAATTAAACCGCGAATAAATCCCTGCAGCCCCCGAAAGCACTCAGAAAGCTCTCGGGGCCGCGGCTGTATCGCCGAAACGCGAGAAAAGGGCCGAGGGACGAGCTCTCTCCCTCTCTCTCGGGCGCGCGGGTTTTTCACGGTCGATTTGGAAGCGCGACGACGATAAAGGGGAAAGGGGAGGGAGAAGAAAGAGCCGGGAACCAGCGACGAGAAAGACGAGCGGAGACGGAGAGGGAAGAAACAAACGGGCCGCGCGCGTGGAGTGTGTTTAAGCTCTTTTATTTCCAACGCGACGTCCGCGGTTGGAAAACAAAAGGCATGGGTTGGCAGATCAAAGAGCGTAGGAAACTCCGCTCGGTGACTACTTCCTCCGCCCCCGGCCCGCCCCCCTCGACCGGCGGAGAGCTCTCTTTTGCGGCGTTTCCCGCGCGTCCCCGTCGCGCTTCTCGCTCCCCTCGCGCCGCTCCCTCGTCCCTGCGACTGTCCTTTTCCCCGGTCGCCTCCCGCCCTTCGTCTACCTTTCACCCCCTCGATCGTCAATATTTTGACTGGAATAAACCACGGTGCCAGCTATCCGACGCTGCCGACGAGATGGCGCTTGCCGGGAATTTCGATGTTACTGGAATTAGTCGAGTCGACTTGAAGATTCTCTGTTGAAACTGCCGGTACTCGGGATTATGATTGATTTACTCACTTTGATGACTTTACACGTTTCTCGAAGAGGTATTATGTTCTCGATGAATGCGGTTTTATATCTGTAGGATGGCGGAGATTTTGGCGAGAACAAGCACAGGTGTATTGTAAGTGACTAGAATTAAACTAAACTATTGTAGGCATTTAGACATAAAAAACCGTTGTGCGAGCCTACCCTAGCATATTCATTGCACATTTAGAAGTTGAAAGATCAACCTGAGAAACCGTAGACTGTGTCACTTCTTTCGCGCTCCCCAAAATACATCCCCCGAATCCCCAACGCCCTGAATCGGTTTCCTTCCTACACTATGCATCTTACTCTATTTTACGCAATACTACGCTGTTCCAGGCTAGTCTAGTCCTTATAATCCACATGATCCACTATTACAAATACACGACTTGATCGCAGACAAGCCCCCAAGTTGTAGGAGTCATTTTATTAAAATCCCACGTCAACACGTGGAATTTTAATAAAATAACTCCTACATACCTGATGCCTTTAGTACCATAGTTGCTTGTTTGTCGTACGATAACAAAGCAATCGTCTCGAAACGCGAGGATTTCTGAAGACTCCGGTGGAATTGAATTAATACGATGATCGCGTGATTGTACGCGTCGATGATGCTTCGCGGATACCACGGGGCACAAAGATTATTTGCCGGAGCGACACGGGAACGAGGAACTTCCGAGAACGTACCGTCCCCGTTGCCATCTCTCGAGCATCCCGAAGCAAGTCAGGGGTGGAAAGCGGGCGAGAGGGGGCGGGCTGATGGGAAACGAGGTGAAACCGGCGATAGGATAGCAGCCGCGTCTTCAACCACGCCTGGCAGCTTTTAGCGACCCGCAGCACTCATCTCGCTCCTTCGATCCCCCGGGATCCAGAATTTTCGCGTCGCTTTTTTCCCTCTTTTCCGAGGGAAGTCGTCCGCCTCTTCGTTTTTGTTTCTCGCGGCTGTCGCTTGATGAGTCTTCAGAAGCTGTTCCGTATTTCCCCGACGGTATTTATGCCGCCATTATCCCTCCGCCGATAGTTTATTACCGGCGACAACGTGTTGTCGAGGCGTCCCGCGCCGCCAGCCGCCGTCGACCCTCGCAAATTGCGCGTCAATTAACACCGAGGTCTGCTGCGACGCTCTTTAACCCCCCGCGCGACCGTTCCTCGCCGTCTTTTTGCCCCCCGCGGCGTGTAATCCGTTTACAAGGACCCCCGCGCGCGCGGTTCATTTAAACGGCGAGCGGAGTCCGCGGCGCGCCCCGAGCCATCGTTAAACTATGCCGCTCGCCGGAAGTATCATTTTTCCCTTTTCGACGACCGCTGGATTTCAACGGTCCGCCGGGTCGGCAATCATCAAAATAGAACCGCGTTATTCGACGTTTTTATTCGATGGATTGCCTCGTCTCGCTCGCGTTAGCTTTTCACTTTTATTGGCTATTATTCCCCGGCGATTCTCTTAACGAGATCACCGGCGAATCAGCGGGCGCGTAAAACTCCCGTGAAATCCGGCCGGATCGATTAATGAGCCGGAATGAAAACAATCCGGATCCGTCGGGGCGGACGGACTTCCCGGGAAACGAATCCGGGAATCCGGACAACGGCGGACGCTCGCGTTTTCCGTCGGACGTCGCGACGCTGTCCGTTCGACGCGCGACGGCTGTTTAGCTTGACGGGGAACGGATGCTCGCAAGATTCCCCGCGAGTGGGACCGACGAAAAATCGTGTCGGCGGCGGGTTTTACGAGCGGATCGGTATTTCGCAGCCGGTCGCGATACGCGAGCCACGCCGCCGCGGCGGCAGTAATAATTTTATAACGTACAAGCAAGCCGTAAAGGCGTTCTTTACGAGCGCGGGACGCCCTATTATTCACGGCTGCCGACGATTTTTAATACGAGCGCCGGCCATTCTTCATTATCCGTGCCCGCCGCCCGACCGTGCCAGATAATTTTATTCCGTTGTTGCCGCGTGCTCGGCCGTGCACTCCCGCTATCAAATTGTTCATTCTATCGCGGGCCGGATTTTAACCTCTTTAAGGGCGCCGGTGCGTGCACGCGCGCGTGCTTCCGTCGCGCCGTTGATATTCCAGTTACACGCGAATTCCGGCTCCTTCAATATCTTCGTAATTACCCGCGCGCGTCTGCGCTCCTCCTCTAATTCCGCTCCATTTGAAGCGGAGAGCCCGTAAACACCGGCTGAAATCAGCTCTGATTTTTCAGTCCAGAATTCGACGCTGAGACGAGAGAGCGTGTAGCGCGGAAAATACGGGAAAAGTTGTGTATCCCGATTGTCGTTTCGCCGGACGAATATCTGACGGAGGCGCGCGTTGCCACTTTCTCTAAGAATAATGGCACACATTCGAAATGAATATAAATCAAAGCGGATTCTCCGGGAAAACAGGAAACTACGCTTTCCGTTCGCGACTCAGTTTTCCCGAGGATATAATCCATTTCGCAATCCCGCCGAAATTCCGCGCCAGACGCGCTGTAATTATTCGAACGGGAAGTCACAGCGATTTATCCCGGCGGCGAGACGAGAGATAAATTCGATCCAGGTCAGACCGTTCGCCGGACGGGAGAGAGATCGGGACAACCCGTCGATTTAAATCAAGGCGCGCTCGTTTCCGAGCGACTAATGTGCCGTATTATTTATGAAAATCGCGATCGCCGCCGGGATTCGCGGGATTTTCGGCGCGGATAAATCCGAAGGAGGAAACGGGCGCTCGCTCGCGCGGAAATTTCGGCTTTTCGGCGAGGAGACGCCGGCCCCCGGTCTGCCGCGCGCCGGATCGGTTTCCACGGCGACCGAAAAATTGCGAGCGCCCTGCCCGCGGGTTTTATCGACGCCGCGACGAACGGCGGCGCGCCGATTAAACGCGACGAATAATAATGTGCCGCCGATCGGAATAACGCAAATAATTCTAATAATCCGGTAATTCCGGCCGCGCGTATTTTCGTTCTTTGCATATTCGGCTCGGACCGGATCGAGCCCCGCGCCGCATATTGGTTTTTATTTATAAAGGGAGACCGTCCCCGCCCCTCGCCGCGTCGCCAATCTCGTCTGTCGATCTCTCCGGCGGACAAACAACGATAAACGCGCTGGATACCGAAAAAACTTCATCGCCCACAGCGATCCGATGCCTCTCCACTTTTCTCTTTTTAATTATCCTCGCCGCGACGCTGGCTTTGATTCTCTGCGCGCGGACCGTTTACAATGGCGACTCACGGTCGCCGATTCGACGCGCCGAAGGTTATGACGCCTTCGTATAATGCATCGACGCGCGATACATGCAAATCGAAGCACTTCGTTCCCCGATTTGCATGTGCGTTTCGAAGAATGCCGCGTCTTATCGGGAAATGAATATTCCCGGGTTTCCAATGTGAAGGGTTGAAATCCTGTTACCGGTTGCTCTCGTTGTAAAAAGTGTCCGTTCGCGCGGGGAGCGTTGGAACTGCCCGACGAGCGGTGATAAGGCTCGTGTTCCTCGCGACGAAAGCCGGGCTCGCACGCGAGACGAATAAACGGCGGACGGCGCGAGCATAAACGTACCGAACGCGGATAACTCAACCGGGCCGCGCGAATAATTCGCGGCCCGCTAATCTTTTGCACGATCGCGCGACGCCCGGGGACCCCTCGCCGCTCGTAAACCCTAATCTCGCCGTGATTTCCTCGTTTATGTTAAACGGGGGGCGCGGGGCCGTTGTAATCAGCCGGGAACGAGGCAAACAAACCGACGGCGCGAGGGGGGAGCGAACCGGAAGCCGGGATACTCGCCGAGTAAAAAGGAAAGTAATCGCATCGATCAAAATCAAGCTGCCGTTTCCTTCGAGCGGAAGCAATAACCCGGTTACGAGGCGGAATATTGTTTTTCTTTATGGGAGCCCCGGTTCCGCTTGATCCCGCGTTACAACGCCGCCTCGAGCTGGAGGTTTAGAGTCGCCGGCATCGATTGGCTTCTATTTCCCTCCGTTTCTCGCTCCGCGCCGGACCGCCTCCCCTGACTCGTCGGCCGGTCGTTCTAAAATTGAAATTAAATCAGCCCCAATTAACTCTCCATTCCGGCCGGCGGACTCCTCCGGCGAAAAAACGACGAGTCCCCAATCTCGGCGGGTCTTCGCGAACCCCATGAAACATTCATCGAAATCACTTTCGTGCCCGGCGTTCGGGTCTCGTTCGGTTTCGCCGAAACGGATTTCCGCGAGTGCCACGTGCGGCACGCGCCGCCTGGCCTACGCGGACACGCGGAAACGGGCTGCTGCAATGCGTGTGCGCGACCGTCGTTGCGCTACGGGACGCGAGAACTGCGAATCGCGCGATTCGTCACGAGTCGGAGCGGAACTGCGGGAATCGGAGACGGTTACCGGTGAAATATCTTGTATTTATAGAGTGGATTTCATTCGACGGAGTCGTTCCTAATCTGGTTCATTAATTTTACGGCGGAGGATTGAATTTGAATTAATCGGATTTGTCGGGTATTCTCGAACCGATATGGAAGGGATTAGTCTTAATTGATTAAAGAACTACGTGTAACCTTATTGTTATTCCATGTCTTATTGATTACACTGATTCATTAGTCAGATTGACGGTGCTTAGAATATCTCGGCGAAACGACGGAAGTACCGTCGGACAACCTGATAAACTTGTCGATCGAATTCATAACGCGACACAAAAGCTTCCACTTCAATTAATTCCGAACAGAAGCTAAATCCGTTTAACCGACGATGCGCCGTTAGATCACACCAATTGAACCGCCAACAGAAGAAACGAGATGCGAGGGAAATCCGCTTGATATTTATCGTCAAGTAGAAATATCGGCGAACAGTCGGCCAACGCGAGATCGCGGCGCGCGGTGGGCGTTTCGAATTGCATTATCCCGAGAACGGAAGCTCGCTGATTCATGTCCGCGCGAGGAATCGTCGCGGCGTAATGCCTGGATATAAAATATCGCGCCGGAAGTGGGGAAAATTGGACGGGGGAACGGCGATCGGGCGGTGCGCGCGATTAAATCGAACGTTGCAAGGAGAAAAGTCTCGCGCGGATCGGCCAGGCGTGATCGGCGACGGGCGCGCGGCCCGCGATACACGCGGGCGCATCGATAAATCGCCGGCCGATCGCCGGGGACAACTTTTATTCGCGCGTCGCCGAATAAATCCCGACTTTATCGCGGCCGCGCCGATACGCCGGACGAAGTTGCGCGGCGGAACGGCGCCGGCGACTCGCCGAAACTTCTGTCCCGGTAACGAGCGGTTCATGAATCCCACTTTTTTCCGCCGCGACGAGTCCGCGAGAGATGGCCCGCTTCCTCTAATGGAACCATTATATCGCGAGTATCGCTGATATCCAACGGAGAGCGAGAAACGTATTTCCAAAAAGTAAATACGCGCGGACGGAACGGTCAAACCGGTTTCCCTGGGACACTCGGCGGCGCTGGGAACAATCGGCAGCATAAATATCTGATAATCCGAATAAAATCGGGACATCTCGCCGGGAATTACTCCGGATCTCCATTTTTCGCGG